CTTGAATTGACCGAAATTTTACGAAGCGAATTTTATAAGAGACAATTTTTAAGAATGTTATCATGCAACATGATAGAAAACAGTACATATTGAATATGGATCCAGAGACAACAGCGGCCTTGATGACGCCACTACTGGAGAAAATGTGGAAAGGAAGCAAGATACCCGAGGATTGGAAGAAAGGATACTTATTCAAACTGCCAAGGGAAGGAAACTTAAATCAATGCAAGAACTGGAGTGGGATTATGCTCCTGTCCATCCCAAGCAAAATACTAAGCCGCATCATCCTGGAGAGAATCAAACAAGCCCTGGATGAAAAACTTCGACCGGAACAGGTTGGATTCAAGAGAAACAAGTCATGTGTTGATCAAATCGCCACACTACGGATCATCACTGAACAAAGTTTGGAATGGCAGTCAGCTTTATCGGAAAAAACTTGCTTTTGTTCTTTTCATCTAAATATATTAATCCTGTGTCATTAAGATATATGTGATAACTGCTTGTACTTACGAATCACATTACTTCTTTTGTCTTTATTTTGATTAGAGTCGGATACACTTTTCTTTTTATATTAGGATTTGTTTAAACGAGTTTGACCACGAATTGATATCAGCTAGAGAACCATTGAAAACCAGCACTGGAGTACTGGACAGCTGTTCGTTCCTAGGATGAAATCTGATACTCGCTAGTAACTTGCTACAGGAGAGAGTTTCCTGGAGTTATAGTGAGAAGTAGTGACCAGTGAGGCTCATCCAGTCAGGAGTGAAGATGGAGTTCCCACCGATGACATTAGTTGGTGCCAGTCGCGCTAAATCACGAATTGGTAGAAGTTAGAATTCATGGGCTGACCATTGAGTTAGATGGGTCCCAGTGGCTGAATGCTATACGAGTTAGCTTACCTTGTAACCCGAAGGTCCTGGGTTCGACCCCCCTGTGGTGAGTGCGTATTGCCGATGATCCCCAAACTAGACTGATGAAACAGCTGGCTTTCCAGTACTCCAGTGCTGACTTTCAATGGTTCTTTAACTGATATCAATCCGTGGTCAAACTCGTATAAACACTTTTTTTTAAAGTCGCCTAAGACTTGTGCCGCAAAAGCCTAAACGCAACATAGATCATTGCTCAGGTGAAGCAAAAAAAAGAGAACATTGTGGTATACTGTGATTTATTTCACTTACATTTTTGTGGTCTAAATCTTTCACTAACAGAATTTGCTTACAATTTACCAATACAAACATTTAGAAGAACACATTTAAGCGAACAATGCTGTGTCCTCAATCAGACCTCATCAGACTTAACTCTAACACACATTACTTTGCAAATAAATATTCAAATATAAACCAATCACGGTGCTTTGTCAATTGGATAATAAGATTGTGTATATGAAATGTGCAATGTCATAATAATAATAATTTTCTATAGTTTGGTTTGTAAGGATTAGTTATGTTTTTTACGAGTTGATCACGGACTGATATCAGTTAGAGAACCATTGAAAACCAACAGTGGAGTACTGGATAGCTGTTTCATCCTAGTTTGGGAATCATCGCTAGCACGCACCCACCACAGGGGTTCGAGCCCAGGACCTTCCGGTTACAATTCAAGCTCGTATACCATTCAGCCACTGGGACCCAACTCCTCAATGGCCAGTGCATGAATTTTAACTTCTACCAATTCGTGATTTAGCGCGACCCCAACCATTGTCGTTGGTGGGACATCCATCCACACACGTGACATCTAATTGGACCTCACTGGTCACGACTTCTCACTAGAACTCCAGGAAGCACCATCCTGTAGCAAGTCATTACAATGGTTCTCTAACTGATATCAGTCCGTGATCAACTCGTAAAAAATAATAATAATAGTGCATTTATCAATAATAAGGATGAAAAAGTGAGGGGATCTGTGATAACAAGAATAACGAAAAACAGCATGATTCAACAAACAAATGTTCAGGTAGACATAGTAGTCGATAAAGGCTAAGAAAAACAAATGAACCGATTAAGTAATGTTAGATTGTAAGGGAAGGAAATGAAACACGTTTATAATGAAGATAAGATTAAGGGATGATAAGAGAGGGGTTGAAAATATAAGTAAGGGGTGGTGAAAACGTCATCAATTAGTTGGTTAGGTATTAAGAACAGGCCAAGAGGGGGATAATGGCTGCACGAACTCCTTTTGAATGCATAGTTTAGGCCAAATAGTTCGAGTGCCTATCCCATCAGCTATGTGCAGTAGACGAATACGAAGTCTATAGGAAAGATTCGGTGGGATGTGATGAATTATCTTGAATGCTTTTGTTTGCTTCACTACATGACCACTATCCACTAAATGTGGCAAGATGGAGCTACAGATTGTTTTTGTTTGTCCTTTGCCAAACCACGATGGGAGATGTTCAGTAATACGTTGGCTAGGTTGTCTAGTAGTGCGCCCAATATAACTGTCACCACAGGTGCAGTTGAATGAACAAATACACATAGATGTGGCAAAACTATCTGGCTTATGCTTCGCTTGAGTCACAATCATCCGTCGCCTAGAGAATGACAAACATAGGTATGCTGCGTAAAACGTTCTTCGGATACTCCTGGAAAGTCTCTGGAATAAAACCTCACTTGACGAGTCACCATTAAATTGTAACTTAATAAACAGGAGTTTTTTACGTTCAGTCATTGCCTCAGGTTTCATCTCCAATGTTTTCATATGTTTCTTTATGAAACTAGTCGGATAGCCCATCCTTATCAAGGAGTCATTATTACAGTCAAAGTTTTTTGTACGTGGTCATCCGTAAATATCTTTCTTGCTCTGCTCGCTCGTTAGACACTTAATAGCATTTCTTTTATATTTAATGGGCACGTAACTAAGGAAGGAATTGTGTGTACTACCCTGTAAATGTGCTTTTTCTACACACGCTTCTCCCAAGTGACTCATCTTCTCGCCTACTTAGCAAGACTTCCAGAAAATGTAGTTTACTATCCTGCTCCCCTTATTACAATACAAAAATATCAAAATCTATTGATAACGTGCTTCGATTCAGGCCAATAGTACAACTATTACTTCTATCTGAATAGAAATGCTTCATTTAAATTATATATATATATATATTCAGGAAAGGGTGACATGTCTGATCAACAGTCTGCCCCGCCCGACCGATAGCTGCTACGTTGACGTGGTGCTTGCCGGGCTTGCATATCGCGATGACCCAACAAGCTACACTGGCTGGAACCAATGTTCCTATAGGTCCTACCATGCCAGGAAGGTTGTGAGGACAGCGATTGGACTAAGAGCAGTTACCGGCATAGTGTAAGAATTTTGTTTTTACACTATGCTTGGGGTCTGTGGGCGAAGTCGTACTGCTGGGAAACAGGGGTGTTTCCTTCAGATGACCAGCGTGCCAGCTATGCTGTCACTCCACTCTGGAGAAAGGGGGTTCGAAGAGGTCGACCCCAACAACTGTACGTCCCGACTTACCCTACGATGGTTCGTAACCGGCGGTAAGTTTACTAATACGGAACCAATCCAAGAAACCAGTTCATACAGACCGTGTGTGACCGGCCTCAAACAGTTGTCTCCTGGACTCTGCGGTCACGCAACAATAACCCTCTTTCTGTTTCAGGTACCCGAAGAATCAATCAACTTCCACGGTGTGGGCAGCCGGGAAGTAACAACCACCCACACACTTCCAAGAGCACACGAAGCCTTCCTGAGCATCACTTCCCGTCCTTCTAACTGATCGTGAGACATGAAGGTGGAAGATATTAAGAAGTTAGCTACATTTCTTCATAGATCTCTGCATCTTATCTTCTGCGTTAAATGTTATATTGCTGTAATTAATATTAAGCCTAGGTGTAGTGTTAAATAAAGAGGGAAAGTGAGTCGATTGGGGTGTGAAGCTGCATCGATTAAAATGGCTAAGACATTTATGCCTCCGTATGCCTAGCTATCACAGTCGAGTGAAATTGGCTAAGATAGAATTAAGTTGGAAATAGTGTCAGCGGGAGAGATTTAACAGAGGTTACTTCCTTCACCTATTCAGGAAGCATTGTTTCAACCACAGGCAATGGCACGGATGAAGATGTCAAAGTCAACCGGGATCGGAAAGGCAAGATAAGCATTCATCAACCTCAAACCAATTTGGAAATCTTCTGCACTCAATATAAGGTACAAGATTCGGATTTACAACACCAATGTCAATCGGTTCTTCTACACGGGTCAGAAATTTGCACTGCGCATGAGTCACGAAAAGCATTTCCAACAGGTTGCAGACTTTCACCGACAGCTGCCTTCGCTCCACACTCAAGATCAAATGACCAGAAAGAATTAGTAACAAGAAACTATGGGAACAAACCAACCAAGAACCGATCGCTCAACAAATATGTAGGAGAAAATGGAGATGGATCGGGCATACGCTGAGAAGGGAGGCCGTCGAATGACATCGCGTTCATGCATGCCATCACTCGAGTGAAATACGGATGGGGAGCGAAGAGTAGTTCGTTGGTGCAAGGGTGACAAGGAGAAGATGATGTATTGGGTAGAAGGAGATGACAGATTATGGACAATCGTCGGGTTAGCTAGCTGAAGAGGACATCAGAGAATAGAACAAAGGGGATATGTGTTGTTGAAGCCCTATTTTCTACTCGGAACTCAAGGGAATAATAAAAAAATAAATAGTGTCAGCGATGGTCAAATAAAAAAACATCGCATCATTTCACGAAGTTCTCAACAGTTAGTTTTAGCCACGTAGGGAAGGTGCAAACTATCAGTCTGGTTAAAGTCTTCCGGACACTCAGAACCAATGGTTGGACAATGTTGATGACATGGCTCAAAACTGCTCAAAACGTTGATAACTCAGAGTTAGTAATTGGAAATGTTAGATATATAGGACGAATCTACTATATTCTAGGATATGCTTATTGCAATGATTACTTTGGATAGGAGAAATGTAACTAACAAAAAGGACACACACACAATTATTAAATCACATCAGTTATATATAAAAAACTTACATATTCCTGGTTGTGATGGAGTTAAATTCTCGTAAATTGAACATTGTGTTAAAATGTTTGCTAAGTATTCTTCAATACGATTTCTAAAAAAGGAATTGAAAAGAAGAAAATGTAGCTGAAATTTCTCTTTTTATTCCCACTCAACTACTAGTTTACATTTCGTATGAAGTGAAATAGAAAAATCACTTTTTAGAGAATTCATAAACCGCATTCTCATGATGTATAAAAAAAATGGTGAAGATTTGATTGATTGGTTACAGGATTTCATCATGAGGTGATATCGGTTGGAGAGGTTGTGACCAGTAGGGTGCAGCAGGTCGCGTGTGAGGACAAATACTCGCCATGGATGACATTGGCTAGCAGTCACGCTATGTCATGAATTGGCAGAAGTTGGAATTCATGCACTGGCCATGGAGTCGGGTCTCAGTGGCTTAATGGTCTACGAGTTAGCTTGCCTTGTAACCAGAAGGTCCTGGGTTCGAACCCCGGCGGTGGGTGCGCACTGCTGAAGAGTCCCAAACTAGATTGACGAAACAGCTGTCCAGTGGTTCTCCAACTGATGTCAGCTCATGGTGAAATCCTGTAACTGATTACGGGTGATCAAATGTCAGTCTAGCTGCGGTGCTCAGGATCTCAGTGATTGGATTACAAGTGTCCTCATCTATACATCCTTGTGTGTGATCATCTCAAAGAGGCTGGGAATCCTCATTATACTTTATGTAATTATTGTTCTCCCTCAATATATTTTCATTAAATTTCTTTAAATTTGTGCATACCTTTATCAAGTGTGACAATTTAGACACTGATACCTAGAATCATATTCGTCATCTGTGAACTACACAGTTCAACGGGAAACTGGAAATATTCAGATCATAATATGTGATCTGCTTAGTAAGATAAATTGTAATCAAGAAAGCAGGTGAAATACTCTCTCTCTCTCTCTAGATTCAACATAGAACTTGGCACCAAAGTGCAGCAGTTCCAGTTGCCACGTCCCAAATAGCACACAAAGGTAGACAAGAAGATGAGTGAAGAGAATCAATAGAGTTTTGACAAGTATAAGAGTGAAACAGAATGAGTAATGGTAGAAAGGAATATGAAAGATTACAGAGACTGAATACATCTGCGCTAGCCATTGACAACGATTTTGAGCCATGTCACCTATTGTCTATCTCCAGACATTGATTCTTAGAGTCCCGAGGGCGGGCCCCAACCCGGAAGTCTGCATCTCCCTACCTACCTGACTCAGTTTAACTGTCAGGGATTTCATGGATTGATTGATGCCATGTTTTTGTTTGGCCACCACTTACTCTTTCTTACTTCTAACCTGCACCTATATCAGCTAGTAATGCCCGTCCGTCGGGGGAGGCGATGGTTAGGTATGCGCAGCACGTGACCTAGCCATCTCAATCTATGTAACTTTATAGCCTCTTCGATTGATTTCCCCTCCTTACCTAGCACTCGACGCCTAACCTCAATATTGCTCACCTTATTATACCACTTCACACGGGAGATAGAACGCAGACACCTATGATCAAAGACAGCTAATCTTTTCATGTCTTCCGCCCTCAATGGCCAGGTCTCACAGCCATTAAGGAGGACGGAGCGAAATACCGTGGTGGTTATGTATTCTTACTAATGATGCATTGGTAAGAGTAGTTGAAAACTACTCAGGTTAAACGGTAGTGCTTGCGCTAGCCAGATAGAAGGGAAATTATGCAATTGGCATGTGACGAATTAAATGCTATGTACTACCAGATGGTTCTAACTGATTCGGCTCTCCCAGCTGAGTCAAACCGGATACGTTGATGATGGGCTCGGTGTCAAATGAGAGGAACGACCGTTCTGAGTTTAGATCACCACGACCTACCTAGCGCAGGCACTGCTCTCGTATCAATCACTGGTATATACACCATTACTCTATCAAACTCTATTACTCTATCAAACAACAAAAACATGGCCTCATCAATCCATGAAATCCTTGACAGTTAAACTGAGTCAGGTAGGGAGATGCAGACTTCCGGGTTGGGGCCCACCCTTGGGACTCTAAGAATCAATGGCTGGAGATAATAGGTGACATGGCTCAAAATCGTTGTCAATGGCTTACGCAGATGTATCCAGTCTCTTTAACCTTCATACTCCTTTCTACCATTACTCATTCTGTTTCACTCTTATACTTATCTAAATTCTATTGATTCTCTTCTCTCATTTTCTAGTCTACCTTTGTGCGCTATTTGGAACGTGGCAACTCGAACAGCTGCACTTCGGTGCCAAGTTTTATGTTGAGTTTAGATCGACTATTAGTCAGTCAGTAAGGTCATTTAACTTGATAATTACAGATAGTTGGAGGCAATTGGCAGGAAGCCTTGGACCTAGGTTTCGTGCTAGTTGGCACTCATCAGCAAGGCGTATCTGCAGCCTTGAAGGAACTGATGTCCCTTCTGAGATTCGAACCCGTGTCACCCAGTGCTGCAGTCAGAGCCCGAATAGCTCAGTGGTAACGTCTGTGACTGAAGCACTAGGTGACAAGGGTTCGAATCTCAGAAAGGACATGAGTTCCTTCAAGGTTGCAGATACGCCTTGCTGACTGGTGAGTGCCAACTAGCACTAAACCTAGGTCAAATGGGGCTTCCCATGGCCGATTGCCTCCAACTATCTAATATCATTAAATCAATGTGCATCATGATGGCGAGCTACCTAGTGCATGGTGGCCACATTGCAAACCTGACCGATAGAATTCAATCTGCACCAAAGAAAGGACTAGAGACATCACACTAGTTACTGACTAGTGTCCAATCAAAGGGTCATTTAATAATAATCAGTGACCTGGTTTGATAAGCCTTACTTAGTGCTTTAATGAGACATTTTGTCTAATAAGACAAAATCAAGTTGACTTTAACGATGGTCGCGCTATACCACAAGTGAGTAAAAGTTAGGAAATATGACAATTCATTTCGATATGACATTTAATTCTCCTAAATCAAATGCCTCGTGTGGTTTTAGGCCTACACTGTTTCAAAAACCAGACACAAGAAAGAAACGTGTGTTCAGTGCACATTACTTTCCAATTTAGGCTTAACAGTTGTCAGTTCAAGACAAAAGTTACATTAAAATCTATAAATTTCTCAAAAACCCTCAAAGTATGGCCAAAAAGGATGTGATTATATCTTGTAAGATTATCGACACAATGGATTCAAGTTGTGAACATTGTCCAAAATACCAACTGGATGAAGACTTACAAGCTATCCACTAATCTATTAACACATCCTGCTATTTTTATACATGGATTGAGACTTAAACAGGTCATTAGATTGATACTTTCCACCTAAAGGTGTACAATCAATAAGGAAATTAAAGTGAAGTTCACTACACACCCAAGTGATAACTTGTATTCATGAAAGAAACATTGTCTTTCTGTATCCACCTGGAAAAAAACACGAATATTATTAAGGAGTTCATTTCTTCTAAATGTGATAACTGAGTAATATCCGGGTGCTGTAAACTCTCAACTTAAAACAATAGTTTACGTATTCTAGTCCTCTACAACTGCACAGAGCTAATTAATGCGCTGAGTGTAACTAGTATTCTTACTACACAACTAAAATTTGTCTGTGTTTGAGGTTTCAATACTAATGACAAGGTAATAGATTAAATGTATTATTCCTTCACACTAAACAATGATTTATGAGACCAATGAAATCCTGATAAAAGTTTCAAGTGAGAGGGCGAAAGCGGGTGCCCGGCGCTCTTCAGCGGGTTGACTGTTCATTGGATGACAGTCTAGGGGAGATGGCTAAACCCTGATTCCAAACCTCCAACGACTGGCGTATGAAGCTCATTGGAGCTCACCGGCAGACGTATGGACAAAGGGCTTGTTGGATGTCCTGGATGTCTGGCCCCATTCAAAAAGACGTATGAACCGAACTCCGGTCACCGGCTGTCAATGGGTAGTGGACTCCCTACTCCACTCCTACTGCCTTGTAGGTCACACTTGGTTGTGTAAAGGCTAGAGCTGCACTCTCAAACAAAAGGCCGAGCGATTCTGGGGACATCACTCGTACCAAATTCCCATGAAACTTCATGAACTCTCTTACTCGAGATGTTCATGAAGCCGGCTCATCCTCCCTTAGGAGATAGCCGAAGTAAAGTGGTATACTAAGGACATGTATGACCCCCCCCCGGCTTATAGTTTTTGAGATGTACAGTTTACGAGGTAAAAAAACAGAATTTATTTCCTAAGATTAAACTTTCACGCTGTGACTTAGTCACTGTAGCCATATGTAACACTCACTGTGTCTAACTGTATTAAGGGTAACCAATTTATAAGCAGTAGATCAGTTAAAGGTAATGCTACATCGCTGCACAATTAACCAATTTAAATTGATGTGAAAGAAAATAGAATGTTGTTAAACATTAGAAATTATTCTGTTTAACCACACGCCACCAATGAGTATTCATCGCGAATTGACAGGTCACTCAATTCTCTCCGAGTGACTGATTGGTTAATCAGTTCACCCAGCAACCTGATGATCTAGATTTGGATCACCAGTAGGGTTGTTGCTGCGACTCAAGGTAGGACGAAACAGCCGTGCAATACTCCCAGATAGTACTCACTGGTTCCCTAACACAGATGTCAACTCGTCATCTAACTTGCAGCCAATCAAATCCCCGCAAAACCAACACTTGAAAATCAATGAATTAGTGTGTTTATAGGGTGGAAGAGTTGGGTGTTTTTTTTATCGTACACCACTCTTATTTTATAAATCACTTCATTGAACAGACTGAGGACGGTCTTCAAAACAGTTGGCTTTTACAACACGAACTGATCTTCATATGGTACCGACAATTATACATCTCATCAAACAGCTGTACGACAATGCTGCATGCCAAGTAATCCACAACGGGAAACTTACGGAATCCTTCGAAGTGAGGAAAGGAGTAAGACAAGGCTGCCTACTATCGCCAATGATTTTCTTGATTGCAGTAGATTGGATAATGCGACAGACAGTGGGCAATGAGGAAACAGTCATAAAATGGACTCACACAAAAAACTTGGAGGATCTGGACTTCGCCGATGATATAT